CTAATGCTAGAATGATAATGTGCTAATGCTAGAATGATAATGTGCTAATGCTAGAAAACCAAAACCTTTGGACGAACTGTTTAAAAAGATTTTCCCAAATATGTACAAAACTTTAGAATGGGTTTTGCTATTGAGCCAAAGCTGGTTTAATATTTAATAAAAGTACGTTTGTTTCTGCAGAAAACTGGAAAAAATGAAAATGCCATATAATGTTATCGATGGATTGGGCGCTGTTTCCTTCTGACTGCTTCTGTTACCTAATCAGCCTCGCGTCTTCTCCAACAGGCAGTAAGGCAGGAAACAGGAGGACAGCTAATATCAGAAGCATCGGTTACTCCGACCTGTTCTGTCTTTCCAAAGACGACCTGATGGAAGCCCTGACAGAATATCCTGATGCTAAAGCTCTGCTCGAGGAGAAAGGAAGGCAGATTCTAATGAAGGATGGGCTGCTGGACCTCGAGGTACAGTCACATTATCTCGTTTGGAAACATTAGCAAACATCTAGTCTACAGAAATAAAAACTTTATTAAAACTAACTCTGTCCTCCAGGTGGCAGCGCAGGGCCCAGACCCCAAAGAGATCGAGGAGAAGGTGGACCGGATGACGAGCACCCTGGACTCCCTGCAGACCCGTTACGCCCGGCTGCTGGCCGAGCACGAAGCCACTCACAGCAAGCTCAAACACAGAGTCACCCGGCTGGAGAAGAAGTTGGTGCCCCCACAAGCTGATCCGTCAGGTGAAGCTCCACCCCCAACACCTGAGACAGAGGCAACCAAATAAGAGGAGAAGTAAGGAGAAGACAACAAAGAAGAGGACTGGAGTGTTCGATTTTAGAGCTTGAGTCAGCTCGATGGGTGGAGATCAAGGTGTTTGAACCTCAGGTGGAAAGTTGGAGGAGTTTCTGTTAAAGTTTTGAAGACAAATTGGAAAAAAGAGGACAAAATCTGTTTCTTGCATTCAGATTTATGTAACATCACTTCACATGACATCTTCTAGAGATAAACTTCTCTTCGTAAAGTATCGACCACCTGCTGGATTTGTGATGTCAGCACTTACAACTGGAAGTGGAGCTGACTCCAGATTACACTCAGAGAGCACAAGAAGGACAACTAGGCCTCAAAAGAACCTAATGTGACACCATGTAGAACTGTTTCCATGTTTAAGTTGTAAAACATTGTAACTGTAATGTATATAAATAATGAGCAGTAACTTTTCTGGATGTTACAGAGGTTGTTCATAGTTCAAGCTTTTGCTTTGCAGCAGTGACTCCTAAAGTGCGACGCGGTGCCTCCCAGTGACCCTTGAAAGAACTGCAATGTTCAATTTTGTAATTACAAAAACATTTCTTAAGAGATGATTTAAAAACAGCCATGGGTTTTAAATTGCACCTAATATTTTGTCATTTACAGTTCAACTAAAGCAGTGGCTATCACATGGGAAAGGGATTTAAAGCTTTAAGGTGAATTTGGGGTGAGGTACAGATGACTTGAAGATCAGCCCAGTTTGTCCCAGGGAAAAAGCCAACATTATTAAATGTGTACATACCAAAAATGGTCATACATATTGGTTTGTGAAGCCTTTGCTGTTTTCTACCACAGCATACTATAATCCTTTCTGACTGTAATAAGTACTGTCATTTACTAAATAAATATTTTTTATTCATTAAGACTTCAAAGTATCAGCTCCCCCCATAAACACACTGGGAGCATGTTTACTCAGGTCAGAGTGGGAAGTAGGCGCCACACAATCAGAGTTGCCCCCTGCTGGCTATTAGAAAGAATGCAGGTTTATCACTTAAGCTTTGCATCATTTTTCATACTGGGCAGCTGCATCCATCTTTACATATACAGTCTGTGGTTAGCTGCTGCACACCTGAATAAACCCCAGATTCAAAGCATATAATGCTCTCTACATCCATCGCCTTTTTTATGCTGCGACTTGTGCTTTTTAAACTATGCAAAAAATATGAATGATAATTATGTTGAATCTGGAACAAAAAGCTGAAATAAAGATATTTTATAAGAAAATCAGAATGGCTTGTTTCATTTCCAGTGCATTCTCCTTATTATTATTATTATTGTTGATTAAAAGTACATAGAAATGTTGATGAGCTCAGATGGAAACTAATGTAGGTAAATGTGCTGTAGGAAATGTTAATACTACCGCGGAGCACGGGATCGATAAAGTTTTATTTGTTGATCACATTTTTGTATTATTGATCTAAGACCCTAGCCCTAAATGAGCTTTTTATATTGTTTACATGATCGAAATAAATTAACAACCAAAAAGCAAAAAGTAACTAAAGTTGAAGCTGTGCAGTGACACGTATGTGTGTGCGTTTGCGTACACGTGTGCGTGTGTGAGAGGTTGTGGGATATGTAGTTTTACTCCTGGATAAATCGCTAAACAGACGACGTTTGGTTGTGAGAACTACAAGAACCGGCATGCACCGCGTTGCACTACGCATGACAATCAGGCACCTGGCTCCACTGTGCTGAGTGTTGAGGTGTGTTTAGCTCATAACTGCTCATTAAATGAGGTTTTCTGATTGTCTTTGGAGTTAAATATTAACATTCCGGAAGCTTCTGTGGATAATTAGAGTTTGGTGAATGTTGTTTACCGGAAGTGACGCTTGTTTCCGCCTGGTTTTTCTTGGAGTTTGAATGGCAGTTGGGTTGCTGCAGCTAGCCGGCTAGCAGCACTTTTGAAGTGAATTTGGCCTTTAACGTGAGCGCGCGCGGTGTAAACGTGTTGCTGTGTACGTGCTCAGGTGCAGCGGTCAGGTACACGGGCGGAGAGAGACACAGTCCGGCTTCGTGTCGCTGTGACTCAGCGGGACAGCTGGGGTAGTCAGGTGACCGCTAAAGACCCAGCCAGGTATCAGGTAAAGGTGTCAGGCAGCTGTGAGCACCTGAGGAGGGCAAGCTGAGGCTGCGCAGAGCCTCCGGTGAGGCTGAGGCAGCTCTGAATCACGTATAAAACCCCTCTGCTGCGTGGAAACGTGCCCTAATGCGCAAACCAGGGTCCAGCCAAAAATCTGCTAATTCACCTCTGCAGCATTAAATCCACTAACAAAGGCACGCTGCTGCTGCAGAGACAGATAAACATGAATGAGTGGCAACATCTGCAGACGTCGGGCTCAAAGCTGA